TATCAAAGCTGACTGAGATCTCTCAGCTTTGATTAGGACATTGTCCGTACCTCGGTTTTTATCCCAACAGCTGTCTGCTGTTTGCTTGTCCCCACATGCATCGCAACAGGGCCAGACAAAACAAGATGGAGACTTTCACAGCAGAGGTGCTTGATTCTTGGCCTCTGCTACAGTGATTTTCAGGACACCAGCACCTCCCGCTAACAAACCCTGTCACCAAACTGCACTCCTTGTCAATACTGCCAGTGTCCCCAGAGGCTGCATCACATCACATACTGTACTCATCAGTTTTCTGTCAACTAATCTGAAGTAACCCGAGCAGACAATAGGACAGTCTGAACCAGATGGCTGTCCTGTAACCTCCCGGTGGGTCTAGACTGTCACTTTGAGCTGGCCAGAGTAGAACTGAGACTTAACTTTTCCTCAAATGAGTGAGTGTCTTTTGAGGGTTTTTGTTTTTGGCTCTGTGTGATACAAGATTTGCCACGCTCACAAAAAAAACCTTGCCCAAAAAAAAAGAGTGTCCCATCCAAAAATCTGTTTCTGTGCCATTTGTGTGCGTGGGTGGGCGTTACAAAGGATCAAACATTTGGTTGCTGTGGTTACACGCGCTCTTTTGGCTTGGCTTGGTTGCCAGCGGTGAGGCAGAACAGGGGCTTTGAGGGGGGATTTGGTTCATGATGTTGAATTGATTTCAACAAAATGGTGTAAAATATTGCAAGTATTTGTAAACTGCTATTTATAAAACGTCCCAATTACACGTTTTGCATCATGAGAAAACTTCACTGTTATATCAGTGCATGTAGAACATTAACACCTGTTATCAAATGGCATACAAAGTCTTAAAATTAGTCAAGTTTTCCCTTTTTTAAATTTTACAAAATGAGCTTATAAAGCAGAATATAGACAGACTGTTTGGCTTTTTGCTGACCAAGGCTACAGCTGTGTTCAACAACAAAAGCACAGCCATGGGAGGGCCATGTCTGAGAAGCTCTGACGAGAGCTGCAGCTGAGGAAAGTTTAAAAAAAAAGGTATTCTGTAGCATTCCTACATTGAGAGTATTTAACTTTAAGTAATGCATAATAATCTCAAAATGTCAGTTTTACTTTGTGTCCATTTTTTGACACTAGAATATTGGTACTTAAAAGCTGTGATGTACCTTTTTTAAATTGTGTGTGGAGGTGGGTGTGTGCCATTCTTCCTCGTGTGAATATAATACAGACGTTACTGGGTCAGGTCTTTAAATTGTTCTAGGATTTTGTTTGTCAGTGTGCATTGCCAATGCAATGCACACTATTGTGATTCGTTTCACATCCAAGTCATCTCAACTTTGGCACACTACCACTCCTGCATACTTTGTCCTAGAGCTGCCATTGTAATTTATATCTGTAAAGCTGCTGTGCTAAATGATGGCTATGCATTTTGGTGCCTGTAAAACTTATAGTTTATGAAATATTAATGTTTAATAAATTATAAAGACAGTCAATGGAGCCTTGTATTGGTCCAATACTGCCCCCTGCTGCATCTACACAATATGGTACTGCACCATAGTTTAATAATATTTAAACTCAGTAGTTCAGTGTTTACAGTACTAATATGATTGTATTTTGATGTTTTRCTATAATRTTGTCYYAATACTGCTCTATTKTTGTAATATTATGCAGTTTAGTGTCAATAATTGTATTGGCAAGGTAAACTCTTTCTGCATACATACAATCCAAGCCCTGGGATTGTTCTCTGCCACATCTCCTATAGTGTCATGGTGAACACTGAGGGATTTCATGCAGGAGGTCAGGGTTCAATCCCAGCTATGATCAAACTATTTCAGTAAAACTACATATTTTCAGATTCATATATCATCACACAATTACGCTCATTACAAACACCTGCTGGCTTGGCAGGTGTTTGACTGATAATAATTAGAATACACTTTTGAACTTGGTCACAGTTCATTCTGCAAGTCCAATGCTGCAGGCAATGACATGCTACATGGCAATGCACACTTGTTTTTACGTCGTAAAAACCCATGTCTAGTTTTATAGTAACGTCTGCCATCTATACTATAGATCAGAGTACAATTAAAGACCTATCATTACTTGAAGGAATGCAATGTATCACATCTGCTGCCTCTCATGCCTGAGTTTTAAAGAAAGATCATCTTAAGCTTACAGTCAAATCTTCACAATAATGCTATGATCAATCATACAATGCTGCAAGATGCTACACAATATTTTACCATTCAGTATTTTGTAAAAATATTTTAAAGGGGCAATATTATGTTTTTCTCAGGCATACATTTAAATACTATACCATAATAAAGTATCTATGTCACCTTTAGTTGATATTAAAATACTGTTTTTATGTTTAAATAGAAAATAAACTTATCTTCTCATCACTTCCTCTTCTAAACGCCTTGAAATTGGCCTCTGTCTCTTTAAGAACCACCTTCCACTTCTGGGGTGGGGGTGGGGGGTGCGCGTGCGCTATGATGCAGTTTACTTGGCATCTGAAAATACATTTCCTCAAAGGTCTTTTTAATCTGAAAAGAGCTTCACTGAGTGAGAACTAATGTTGAGAGCTCAGCAGACAGTTAGTTTTCACTTTCACCCGTGAGCCTTAAGAAGTCAAGGGCAGGGTGTGTGGGGAGAGGGAGGGGGGCTGCTGCGCGTTAAGGAAGTTTGGCTTAAAGGCACAGTGTGTAGGATTTTGTCAATTCTTTTAGCCGAAATTGAGATAATCACTAATGACAATAAATAAAAACATGTCTAATCATTGCAGACAAAGACCTTGTTTTATTTTTTTTACCTTATAAAAAGCTGTTTATATCTCCATGGCCGCGGGTCGCCACTACAGGCAGCCGCCATCTTGTCTACGAAGGCTCATGAAGGACAAACTGCGGTGGCGACGTCAAAAACGGTTTTAGTTGTAATACTATAAATGTAATATTTGTTGTCTGTCATTGTAGCTGGGATAATTTTACTTATTAAAGCTCATAATCTTACCACTTGAAACATCACTAGCCCTGAAGCTGCTGGTAGACATCGCGGTTGGAATTATCAAAGGTTTTTGACACCTGAGAGACACCGTAGAAACTCCTTTGTGTTTGGAAGCGTGGGGTGGGGGTGGGGGGAGGACCAAGGAGGATGATTCAACCACTCAACCACTACATGTTGCTGAAAACAACAAATCCTACACACTGCGCCTTTAAAGACACATCCCAGAGGCGTTTCTAGTCCCAAAAGGTGTTTCTGGTCCCCACCTGTCGTTTTGCTCCTCAGCATGGCTTCCTAAAAACGCTGCAGGATTTCTCAAACATGCATGAATGAGTCAGAGCAAGGCTTTGGACATGTATAATATTATAACATGATATAAAACTCAAAAAGTTGATTTTACATGATATTGCTCCTTCAAAACATTTAAAATATACAAAGTCCTTAATTGAAATATTTACTCAGTAGTTCATTTGTGTTTGCTTCACTTATAGTGAATATTATCATGTTTAGACAGGAAGTTGATGTAAGATAAACATTAGTCATAAAAACCATCATAATAAGTCATAAAACAGGATTCTTTCATAAAGATAAAGTGTCAGATGTGAATTACCTGTTAAAAATACAGAAATACAACCATCCTTTAAGGGGTGTCCAAGTTGTATTTAGGGGAATCAAACCCTTCTTTACAGCCCTAATTTCAACCATGCTATTCTTTTGTTTTGTGATACATGTATGGGACATTTCCTCTTTGATTTTCTTTGTGTAAAACTAATTTTCATCTCCAGGAAAAAAAGGATCAGAGGAGACTTATTTCAGAACAAAAGTGACTCAAATACTTTGTTAGTACAATGGTAAATGGACTGTACTTACAGTATTTAAACCTTTCTGTCCAACCAGGATACTGAAGTAAATCAATCCTTAGAGACTAATCAGTGCTTTAAATCACATTCATACACTGATGGGACACACATCAGAGGCAGTGGGGGTTCAGTGCCCAGGGACACATTGACATGTGGCTGAATAGTGGTGGAATCGAACCGCCAACTCTCGCATTAGAGGACCGACTTCCCTAACCACTCAGCCACAGCTGCCCCAATCACAGAATGACCTTTGAAATGACTGGAAATTGTTTTAGGGTTTATTTTTATTTACTTTAAAACAAGACATTACATCATCCCACTGAAAGCTACGTGTGGACCACCGAGCAAGAAACGTAATGTTTCTGAGTCACCTAATAGGTCATGTTTATGACTCCACCACAAATCACCTCTGAGGGCAGCCACACCCTCACAGTGAGGCCCTGTGTCACTCCTACACTCCCTGTTAACAGCCAACCTCTCCAGATAAACCAGCCCAACACTTAACATGCTTTAGGTATCATTTTATTACATAAAGCTTAGCAGCTTCACTGTTTTACAACTGAATATCAAAAGTACAAGAAAAGGCATTAGGGACAACAGAAACTCTTAATTGACAATCAAAGTTGTATCCTTCCAAATAGTAATGTGCATAAAAAATGTTTATAAAGTTTTATATGACCATGATGGAATCCATTGCAGAATAAAATAACTTTTTATGATCATGATAAAACAGACAAATAATCAGGTGGTAAAATCACGTCCACACATCCTCGTACTTCCATCAAACAGGACTTTGTATAGACTTGCACTCATGTTTGTAACTGTATTTATGCCCAACCCAGACACTTCCCCTAAAACTAACCATTACTACTCTAATCCCGACCCTAACCTTAACCAAAACTTACGTCATACCATACCTCTAAACCTAACCAGTAGAGTACAGTAGAGCTGCAAACAAAGTGAGGACCGGGAGAGCGTCCTCACTTCCCAAATATGACCTCACTTTGTTGGTTAAAAACATAACGGTGCTCACTCTGTGGCAGAGACAAGTAGACACACACACACACACACACACACACACACACACAAACACACACACACTGTGCTGTCTATCAGGAACTGATTAGTACCTCATTTTGCTTGCAGGTGATGTACTTCAGCTCCTTGTTTCCCTACGTTGTCCTGATTTGCTTCCTGGTTCGGTCTCTGCTCCTGAAGGGCTCCGTGGATGGGATTCGTCACATGTTCACACCCAAGGTAATAGAGGTCTAAACAGCTGAACGTGGGACTGAACAGGTTTTATATGAATAATGTTTAATACACAGCTTCAGTCATTTTATGTGCTCTGATTATGTTTCTTAAAGAAAAGGCTGTTTTTTAGAACACACGATGGACACTCCTCGTTCCCACTGCTGCCCTATTAAAAAAAGCCAGAATATTCTTTTAATCAAATTTAAATCCAGTATTAACTCCAGCAATAAATACCAGCATTTAAGCTGATAATGTACCTATTATATTTGGCAATATTCAGTGAGGTATTTCTTCATGAGTACTCACATTTCTTTGGGCTTCTATTCTGTCCTATACTTTGTGATTATATGTATTAGATTACCGGTAAGTGTCCCTACTCTTATCTAGATTCACTTTATTTCCTGATAAATTCACTGCCACGTCTGCTCTGTGATAGGCTGATTCCTCAGCAGCGAGCAGCCAATAGCGCATCAGGCCACACAGCCATGTCACCATGGAAACAGGAGCTACAGAGTCCTTATGTAAGCAGCCGAAGATGCTCCTTTGCAGCCGAGCGTGTCTGCCCTGTCTCATCCAGTTGTCTTCTAACTTCAAACACATACCTGTGGACACCGGTGGGTCCCGCTCTCAGAGAGGTGGAGGCGTTTACGACCCCCTCGTCTGACCGATGGGGGTCCTAAACATGTAGGTGATACATTCCAGCAGTGAGGGGGAAGGAAATAATAACCCTGGAAGGTTTTCTGAGTGGTCACTTTTCCATAATGACACATTTCTGTTCCTGATAGGAGCAGGTGGAGACCCCATCAGGGAGTTATGAGTCACTGAAGGGTTACAGATCTTTCATACCTGTGTGTATATATATATATTTACTGGTCTGTATGTATCAACCCCACCTGTGGTCATGAGGTTATAGATCATAAAAGCAGGTTTCCCACGGGTCCTTGAAATCCTTGAAAGTTTGTGAATTTGAAAAAAATACATTTTTTTAAGGCCCTGGAAAGTTTGTGAAAATAGCCCAAAATTACATTGTCCTTGAATGTTTTTTGGGATTGAAGTTCTCTATTCACACGACTGATTTTCATCATCTGTATAAAAAAATCTTACATTTGATGCAGTGGATAACTCAGGATTACGGTAAACTGACGTGGTTTTCAACAAATAACGTGAACCATAGTCCTAGTTTTATCCAATCAGAGCAGAGTAGGGCGGGTCGTTCTTTCTGAGCCCAGGTGAAAACACCACAGCTCCTCCTGTCCTCACCGAGCGTCTGGACATGTTCACATCCCCTCCTCCCAAACTGAGCTGCTGAACCTCCCAGGACATAATTAAATGTCCATGTATTGTGGATATGAATGTAGGGTAAACATTTAATCCACTTTATTTCATTGATTCTGACTCAACAGCTTCTGTGTTCAGTTTTTCATAAAATTTACATATTAAACCTGTTTATTTGTAACATTCTGCTGTAACAGTAGGTCATTGCCGTCACGCGTGGTTCTTGAATTTGAGGAAATTGGTACTGGAAAGTCCTTGAAAGGTCCTTGAATTTGATGTTGACCAAGGTGTGGGAACCCTGTAAAAGATATAAGCCATCTGAAAGGAGGTTCCTTCATAGAGTGGCCAGGTTCAGACTTTGATGTAAAGTAAGGAGCTGTTCCTCTGCATCAGAATGCTCTTTGGCTCTGGAACACCTTGGGGTCCCAAAGAAGGAGCGGGGAAAAAAGTTTCTTGTACACTTTTAGAGTTTCCCATTGATTGTCACAAAAAGCCATTGTAGTCCCTGGAAAACAACACTTGATCAACACATGAGAATATCCTGCTGCCAACAGATATACTTGACTAATATCTGTCTACCTTGAGTAGTTTTCCCTTTCTTTCCTGGTTAAAATCCTACTATCAGTGTTGGGCTTCTTCTCATCACACATCAAACTGTAAGTGTAAAAACTAATCTGTTCTGCTCTCAGTTGGAGATCATGTTGGAGGCCAAAGTGTGGCGCGAGGCGGCCACACAAGTCTTCTTCGCTCTGGGTCTGGGCTTCGGCGGCGTCATTGCCTTTTCCAGTTACAACAAGCGCAACAACAACTGCCACTTCGACGCTGTCCTGGTGTCGTTTATCAATTTCTTCACCTCCGTGCTGGCCACCCTGGTGGTGTTCGCCGTGCTGGGCTTTAAGGCCAACATCATGAACGACAAATGTGTTGCACTGTGAGTACGAGCCTCTGCCACTATTAGCTACAGTGAGACTGTCCAGGAGAAGTTTGTGAACAATAACTTTTAGATGTGAAGTGAAGGGTAAATGCTGATACAGCGTTTTTTTTTTTCTCAAAAAGAAAAGAAATCAAATTTGGACATAAATGTGTATAAAAGTATATAGTAAACCTGTTAACAATAGTTTTTTTTTCTTATTTTAGAAACTCTAACAAGATTGTGGCATTGCTGGGGAATGGTATTGAAGCCAGCCTCATTCCTCACCACATAAACCTGACTCAGGTGAGTCAGGTGAGTGCTGAGGACTACCACCAGATTATTGAGATCCTCAGAGGAGTGAAAGAGGACAGCTACGAGAAGCTGGGGCTGGAGTCCTGCAGCATCGAAGATGAGCTCAATAAGGTACAAAGGAGGGGAAAGGATCGGACAAATCTAGTCTTTAAAACAGTCGCAGTTCTTTTTTAGTGTTAAATGTTTTGTAAATGAGAGGTAACGGATACCAGTTAGCTTAGCTTAGCTTAGCACAGAACTACTAGCATAGCTTTGTTCACAGCAACTCTAGAGCTTAGTCAGGGTTCCCGCGGACCCTTAAAAAGTCTTAAAAGTCATTGAATTCATCAATCCAAAAACAAGGCCTTAATTAGCCTTAAATGTCTTAAATCAATCTTTCAGAGGTCTTAAAACTGTTAACACATTGTAAATAGGATGACTGTATTTGTCTCAAATATTAAAATAATTGGTAACGTTTAATTTCTTTTAAACAATTACTGCAGCTAGTTGTTTTGCATTAGACATTTGGGTAAAATTTCATTTTATTTTATTTTTTTCACATTTGTGTTCATTGTGAAGTTGGTCTTAAATTTCCTTTCAAATGGCATTAAAAAGCATTAAAAATTTAACTTGCCTTAAGCTGTAAGAACCCTGTTATTTATAGTTTATAATTTCTAAATTAAACCCAAAACATTATGTGTTAAAACAAATGAAAAAATAAAATCAATGACATATTAGTTACCTTTACCTTTTATTAAAGCAGGGTTCAGGCTGTTGTTTGGGCTCCTAAAAGCTTTAGAACAAGGTAGTTTTATCAGCTTTCTTTGCAAATACTGTACCTCAGGAGCCCCATTTACAACCGGTCAAAGTGGAGGTTTGTTTTTACTCAAGATGGACTGAAGCTCTGCACAGATGCTACAGATCTATACAACTTTATGGAATTCTGACATCATTATAGGCTAACTTCTAAAAAAACACTCTTTTATATAGGAACAATATTTTTTCAGATTAAATGGACAAGCTAATAGATTTCTGTGTTGTAGAAAAACCTCTGAGTAGAGACTAAATTTAATTAGGACTGAGTAGATTAATGCCTTTTCTGTATTTTAGTTCTCAGCAGAGAATGAGCAAAGCTTTCCTGACACAAAGTGACTGAGGAGGAGCTAATAGCTGGAATATTTATAGCATCTGAAGAAATGAGAGATAAAAAGTGAAAATCACAGGTTATACACAGGTCAAACACTGATTATCAGGAAATCATGCAGACTTATACATATATACTGTATATATAT